CACCAGTTAGTGTGGTGATAGCTATAGGTTCTTTGTAGATGTTCATTATCAGGTAGAGGAAGTTCTCACTCTTTCTAGTTTGCTGAGAGTTTTTATTATAAATGGATACTGGATTTTGTCAAATACTTTCTGCATCTATTGATATGACTGTGTGATGTTTCTTTTCTAGCCTGTGCATTAACTGGCTTTTTTCCCTTGGTACTGGTGATTGAGCCGGGGTCCTTGGACTTGTGCAGCAGGCAGCCAAACCTCTGAGCTCAATGCCCGGCCCTAACTGACGTTCTGAATATTGAGCCAATCTCATCTGTCTGAAACAAGTGACACTTGGTCACGGTGTACGTTATCTTTTTGTGCTATAAATTTCTAATTGTTACTAGGGTATAGAAATATATTTGATTCTTGTATGTTGACCTTATATATTGATCCTATAAGCCTGTTAACTAATCTATTCATTCTAGTAACTTTTTAAAGACCCCATTGGATTTTCTATGTGGATAATAATGCCAGTGTTCATGAGAACTCAGTTGAAGACTTGAGCAGATTCTCAGCATTATCTTCAGAGTTCTCCTGTACTTGTCTCCTTTATGACACTGTATCCTACTATCCTCCTTGGCTTTGCATACTCCCAATCTTCTTTAAAGTCAAGGGGACTCATGTCCTCTGTCTGGATTCCTACTTCCTATACCATGGTACGGAAATGTTTTTCAGGGAGTAACGTGATAGGCATCATATGACAGTGATACATGCATCCTCATTCACAGTAGCTAAATCTTGGAAACAGCCTATATGTCCATCAACAGATGAATGGATAAAGAAAATGTGGTATTTATATACAATGGAGTACTATTTTGCCATAAAGAAGGATAAACTTGAGTCATTTGTAGGAAAATGAATGCATCTTGAGATCATAATATTAAGTGAAATACATCATACATGCAAGCTTAAATGTTGCATGGTTTCTCTTATATGAGAAACCCAAAATATAAATAAAAAGCAACATAAAAGATAGGTAGTAGGAAATAGGGGGTCTTTTGCAAACTGGAAGGGGAGGAAGAGATGGAGGGAGTGGGAGGGAGGGCGGGGAAAAGGAGGGATGAAAAGAGAATTAAGGTGAGTTATGTGCACACACCAACTTCCCATGGGCAATGTGATCGCTACATACTACAAACATGTAATGGTAAAGAATAAAAATTGAAAAAGTTTTATCCTAAGAGAAAAGGAAGGCCATCAGGCTGAGCTCATTTTTTACCTGTCCACGAGGATCACTGTCCTTCATTGCCTGATGTGAAATTTCTTTAAAAATGAATTTTCATAATTTCATCTGTTTTTTAAGGAAGCATAATATTGTGTATTTATGGGTTATAATTTATTTAACTATTCTCTTACTGGTAGGTATTTAGATTGCTTCCTTTTTCTTCTTTAGGAATAAATGCAATGAATATCCTTCTAAACATTGCCTGAATTACACTGTATTTTGTACAAACACAGTGGTTATTGAGATATATAAAATTATATTTTAAAACAACACAATTTAGTGCCCATTATATAATAAGAACTATATATAATCCTATGGAGAACTCTTAAAGATATGATTTTTCAAAATAATTAAAGTATAAAGTAAGAGAATAGGAAAACATAGTCACTCTCAGCTTATCCAAATCCCCAGGAGAATTAGGAGTTGTAGGTAAAAGACATTTTGGATATCTGAAAGATAAAAATTACACTAAAATATGATATGACCTCGTATCATACTCCTTGTACTGAAATCCTGAAAATCATGTTATGTATTTTCTAACTCTAATATAAAGAGTAAAATTAAATAATTTAACATCTTGTGATCCAAAAACATCCTTATAAGTATGAATATTTATACTCTGTTGTGGATATGGGACATTGAGCTGAATCAGTACTGGAAAATGCCCTGAATTACAAAGCAGGATGGTCAGGCACTGGGTTAACCTACTGGTAGACTGGGTCTTTTTTTGCAGTACTCTCATAGTGTATATTTTATGTGTGGATCTACATGAGTTATCAGAGTCTGTCTCTTTAGAGTGATTTATATCCCCATCTCTCCTTTCTTGAGATCCTTAGTTCCTAAAGGGCAGGGACACTGTGTTCCTCAGCTCCTGGGTAAGTACTGGATATGATTAATTTAATCAGATGCACGAAGGACTTGGGAGGGTCAGAAATTTCAAACTCTTTTTGAATGAGTTGGGATATACTTAAATAGTTAATTTCGAAAAACTACTGAACATGTCATGATAGAAAAACATCTGAATCTAATGTGTGTCTTTGTACTTATGGGTAGTTTAGTAATGTGCACATGGACCAGCAAGAGCGTACAGAGAGTACACAGAGCCAAACATGAATTAAATGGAGAAATGAGAATTAAATGGAGAGGAATTAAGATGAAAGCCTTCCTTTTGGAACTTATCTCTCACTCTCAGCCTGTATCTTTGCTGCTCTACGTACACATTGCTAAACTCTCCATAGGTACACAGATAAAGTTTAGATTAAGATGGGGACTGTTGTCTTGCTTTCACATTGGACTGTTAGGATTTAATACTTTTTTTTTTTAAAAGAAAAAGCAGTCTAGCCTTGGTTGTTTTGTGTCTTCTTTCCCATTCAATATATTGTCATGACACCAATGATAGAAATTCTTAAAACTAATTGAATAAATACATACATTGCATACTTACTCTTCAAATGTCACTTTGCTGGGGAAACTTAGCATCTACTTTATATTTATTAATTTTTTGGGGTACCAGGGATCAAACTCGTGACCTTGCGCTTGCAAGGCAGGCACTGGAACCACTGAGCTAAATCTCCGGCCCCTAGGATCTACGTTTTAAAACGTTGATTGCCTAGCCATAGTCTATTTCCTCTGAAACAGAGTTTTCTTTGGGGGTTAAGAGGATAAACTCCCCAAAGAATAAATTGGAAATTAAACTGTAAAGCATTTGTCAAATGTTTCCTTCACACTATGAATAATTCTTACTTTGCTATTTAAAAGCTTATTGGGGAAGAAGGATAATCCATGCCTAGCTTGAGTTTTCAAGAAGACTGGCTACACCTTGGCAGAATTCACTTCTGCATTTAAATATTATTCATAATTTATGATTGCTATCCTTGCCTGTTTTTCAACAAAGATCGATCTAAGAATGAAATATTTTCTTCCTCATGTCTCTTATATGCACTGATAAACCTGAAATGTACAAAGGATAGCTGGGTTTTTGTTTTCTGTATGGATTGCTTATATATCCTACCCCAGGGAATGGTGTGGAGTAGGTTATAGGAAAGATGTACTGAAGAAGAAAAAAGTATTCTAAGAAATACATTGATATTGGTTCCAAGTTTTTGAGAGTCTTAGAGGAAAAAAGATCTTAGACAAAATAATGAAGAATGCTGAGCTAAATACCATTTTTCCAATCTGCTGATTCCCAAATGCAAAAGATTTCATTGTGGAATGCATAATCTTTGACAAAATTTCTTTCCTGATACATTTTGGTATGTGATTAATTTTATGAACTGCCTAAAATATAATAGCCTTCTATTTTGGTAAGTCTTTGAATCAATTTGGTAATGATTGAATCTAGGCTTTGACTAAAAGAATAATAATGAGAGAGTGATTTAAGAATAAGTTCCTTACATGAGGGAGATGGGTTATTTCAACATATTCTTTTTCTGCCCCAGTACAGTCACATGAGAATATCTAGGTACAATCTCCTGCAAAGTATGGAGAAATAAAGCAACAAGTACCATAGACATTGTGTATGTATATGCAAAAGTGTGCACAGGGGTAAAGACATTTTAGTGGTGACTGATAAAAAGTAATTTAAATAATTATCTTTCATATGAATAAAGAAATCTGGTATCAAACATTTTAAAGCACTGAAGTTTTAAAAGTGATGCTATTTGATTCCCGATTTCTACGGTGTAGGTAACATCAAGGTGAGAAATTAGCACTCTGATGAAATAAACCTTCCTTGTTAGCTTATTTAGATTTGTAACCCACTGTGTGAGGAGAACCACGGCTCAAGTTATGTGGTCTCATCAGCCGGCCTGCTTTGATTCAGTGCTCTGGGCTGCGAGTCAACAGCAGCTGCGACATTTGGTTTATGCATGAGGTCAGAGGAGATCACTGGTTTTCAAAGGATGATCCCTGATGCCCGCTGGCTCTCTGGCTGCGCCTAGGGCGTCCTCAAAAGGAAGCAAATGGTCAACTTCTTTCTCTGCCCAGGCTTGAGTTAGAGCGGTTCCATGTTTATTTGTTTTATATATTGGGGTTCTACAAATGTCTTCTTTTGAAAAAAAAGTTTTCCTTTACAACAAAGATATTTGCAAGCCCATGGTATAGATGCACTTATGCTTTTTTAAAAAATTCTCTTTTCCTATTTAAAATTCATCCATGGATACAACTGAAATATAAATGGAAGTACCTATAAAATCAGTACCAAACGCAGTATAATAATTCATAATTGCTATAGTTATTAATAGCATATCATTAATGATGGCTCACTAAGGGATGTAGCAGAGGAACAATAAATTACAGGTTATGTCTAATTTTCTTTCCCTCTCTCCAGCTATTTCTTCTAATTTTAGAAAGCAGATAGAAAAGCAAGTGAATGAGAGAGTGATACTATTCATGGGAGAATCCTGAATCTGTTCTAATTTATCAAAGAAGGTAAATCATGAGTATGACTGACACTCTAATTATTACTATTAAAATTATTTCAACACTACTCATTACTAATAACATCATACCATTTCAGAATTTTCTGTGACAAGGAGCAGGAAAACATTGCTTTGATTTAAAAATATGAAATTTCTGGATTGCAATGGACAACATTCTATTGAGGACACCTTAGATTTTTGAGGTAAAACACTCTTTATTCTGTGTTTCTGTTAAAAATCATAATCTCAACAGAATAAAACTTATACTGCAAGAAAGAAACATCGTTGGAAGTTTACTAGCGATTCTGTCTCACAGGACTGGAGAATTTCACGCATCCTGTGCAAGCCATAGAGGCCAGCTTTCCCCTCCTGGAAGGAAAGGGAAGAAGTGCGGCTCGGGTGTTGGTTTCTGGCCAGTAGGACTGACATGGTAGGACCTGATCAATGCATTAACTGAAACCAAATCAAACAGTTTATAGAATTCTCAAAGTAGAATTTGTGGGAGACCTGTAGAAAAGTGAGACTTATGATACATTTATGATCAAGAAGATGAGAACCTGTACTGTTGCTGGAATTTAGTAGGACAAGGCTATGCCTTTGGGATCACGAATGACTGACTTACACTGAAACTGTTGTAGACTCACAGAACCAGCAAGCTGGGCTAACAGCAAGTGAGCTTGATGGGGCACAGTACCTGGGACAATGGCAAGTGGTGAATACCTTCAGTACCTTGATCCACCTCTCCTTATTGGCGAGTATGGGCTGGTTGGGGGAGTAAGCAGTTAAGAGCTGAAAACTTCGGGAGGAAAAATGCTTCTAGACTTCTTGTCTTTAGAACCTAGATTGTTGAAGTCTTTCTGAGTTGTTACTTTCCAAGGCACATGGAGAAATCCACATGACCAATCCATTTAGATTGGTAGCACTCTCTCTGTAACATTAAAAATCAATGCTTAGTCTAACAGAAGGGCTGAAGGTTGAGAAACTACAGGCCACTGGAATTACTAACAGGGATTATAATTCCTTTGCAGGAATTTTTCTTCAAAGTGTGAAAAATACTGTCTAAGAAGTGTTTGATCAAGTACAGGGTATGCCTTGAAGAGAAGGGAATAGGCCACAAGGCACAAGAAGAGCTTTCTCTAAGTGTAACTCATGCCCCTCATCCAAAGTACAGGTTAAATTTTGGAAGAATGGGGTAATTTTATTTTGAACTTAAGACAGTTTTAGGTTATCTGGAAACTGGCAAAAGTGACAGTTGGGAGTCTGTTTGCCTGGAGTGTGGTTCTGGTAGAGGAGGAAGAAGGAAGTGAGGTCCTGCTGAACTAACAGCAATGCTTATTTGTTTTTTTGCCTGTTAGATTTTGTGTTTTACTCTTGAGAGGCTGAATTTAGCAACAATGGTCAAGCATATATGGGAGCTCAGATCCACATAAGGCGGCCCGAAAGCCAGACCACAACTTCTGTGGTAACCAGTTCAGAAGGCCAAACCACAGTCTCTTAGGCAACAAGTCCAGGAGACCCAACCATAGCCTACGCAACTCTAATGGTGAGAATATTTTTAGTGACTGTCAAGTTCCTTCTATTTTCCCCAACTTCCAACTCAGGACCAAACAGAGGAAGGCAATATGCTCTCCAAATCAATTGCACAGGATGCTCTGCTTCTAGTTAGCCTGCCTCTAGTTTCTCCATGGCAACACCCTCCAGTCAGAGCACACCTGAAGCCTTTTTCTCATGCAAAGCATTCCCATCCCACTATCTGCCTTCAAGTCTCTGCTACATACAAATGAAAAGAAGGGGCTGACTCCCTTGCTGTAGCAAGCTTTGAATAAATATCCTGCTTGGTTTCATGAAGGTTGTTTTCACTTACTTACACATTCTATAGCGTGCATGTTTGTTTTATGAAACAGTGATGTTTAGTATATTAAACTAGTAGTGAATAAAATGAATGTTTCAGAATGTTTCAGTGTTTCAGATTTTATTCATGTACCCCTGAGGTGTTTGAAAGTCCTACTTTGAACACTGATGATTTTAAGCTCACAGGATCTTTTTAAAAATTATTTTATTTAGGTATAATTTATATACCATATAATTTACTCAGTGAAAGTGTGTGGTTCAATTATTTTCAGTAAATGTATATGTTGTTCTACCATTACCAAAATACAGTTTTGAAAAAATTTTATCACCAAAACCTTCCTCATGACTAGTTGCATTTATCCCTGTTTTCAGCCCCTAGCCTTAGACAATCATTACTCTCTAGATAATTGAATTTTCTGGAAATTTTATAAAAGAGGCATGACTTCAAAAATAATCTTTTGTGTCTGATCCTTTCAATTAGCATAATGCTTTTAATGTTGCAACCTGTACCAGAAATTTGTTTCTATTCCTTCTATATTGTATTTTACTGTGCATTGCACTGTGTAGTGTTTTATACTTTGTTTATTCATTTACCAGGTCATCGACAGTTCTGGGCTTACAGTCCAGGGGTGTCACGAATAAAGCTGCTATGGATATTCACATGCAAGTCTACGTATAAACATTACATTTGTCTTGGGCAGATAGAAGGCATCGCATTACTAGATCATACAGTAAGCATACATTTAACTTTTTAAGAAATTGTCCAATTGTTTACTTTACATTCCCACCAGTATGAGGGTTTTCCACATCCTTACCAAAATTCATCTTTTTGATGATAGCCACTTTAGTATTAACTTGCATTTTGCTAGTGACTCACAGCATTGAGTGTTTTGTTATGTGTTTGTTAGCCACTCATTTACCTTATTTGGTGAAATGGCTTAATCCTGTGTCCATTTTCAAATTGGCTTTTCTTCAATTAATTTTTAGTTCTTTATATAACTTGTATACAAATACTTTGCCAGATATTACTTCCAAATATTTTCTTCTAGTCCAGTTTATATTCCATTTTCTTAAACATATGTTTTAAAAGTGTAAAGTTTAAGTTTTGATGAAATTAAGTTCTATAGTTTTACTGCTTTTTTTGGCACCGGGGATCAAACTCAGGACCTTGCGCTTTCCAGGCAAGCGGTGGAACCACTGAGCTAAATTCCCAGCCCAAGTTCTGTAGTTTTAGCTTTGTATTTTAGTCTGTGATCCACTGTGAGCTGATTTTTGCATATGGTGTGAAGTCAGGTCTATGTGTCCTTTTTGTACATGAATATCTAATGGTCCTGGCACCATTTGTTGAAAAGATTATCCTTTCCCACATGGAATTATTTCAACATCTTTGTTGAAAACCAATGGACTGTAAATATGAGAGTTTATTTCCAGATTTTCTGATCTGTTCCCTTGAACTAAATCACGTCGTCTTAGTTATTATAACTTTATAGTAAGTTTTAGAGTCAGGTAGTCTAAGTCATCCAATGTTCTTTTTGTTTCAAAATTGTTTTAGTGATTCTAGGTCTTATGCATTAAAAAAATTAATTTTATTGGTACATTTTAGGTATACAATGCAATGACATTCATCATTGGAAATTTATACCTTTACATAATATAATATATCTTGGTTGTTTTTTTCCCCATTCCTCTGCCCTCCCTTCAACCCCTCCACCTCTCCCTATTTACAAAGACTTTGTTTCCATTGTTTCAGTTTCTCATATTAATTCCATTCCCTTCTTTCCTTTCCCCAACCCCTTCTACTTCCCCTTCCCCTTTGGACCTTTTCTTTCTATTTCACATTATCTA